AGGAGAAAGAGGAGGAGGAGAAGGAGGAGGAAGAGGAGAAAGGAGGAGGAGAAGGAGGAGGAGGAGAAAGAGGAGGAGAAGGAGGAGGAGGTGGAGGAGGAGGAGGAAACACAACAAAAGACATCCAAATGCAATTACAGCTTTAATAATCATTAGGGAAATTCAGCCTGGCTTCCCATGGATAAATAAAATGAGAATTTGAGGGCGCAGATTTTATCTGGCCAAGCTCAGCTCAGATCGCCTGGAATACAGATGTCTTCCTTGGAGCTGGAGCTACTCAACTCGATAGGACAAACATTCCACTCCTCATAAGCCGGCTACAGATGTTCTCCAACAGCTGCACATGCAAAAATTGATGGCAAAATTCTGAGCACCCCTTTTTTCCTAAAGGGGGAGAAGCTGGCTCCATTTTTCTGAACGTTTGAGGACCCAGAAGGAGCTCTGCTACTTCATGCTCCTTCATCCCTACGTGACAGTTGCCAGGCGCACTGGGGGACCATTGGAAACACAGTGATTAATCCACCAAAGCTATTTTACACAATGAATGGGGCAAACCCTTTTGCATTTCCGTATTCGATGACAGTGGGCCTCACAGTTTAAGGACTGATAGCATCGTATAGTTAGGCCATGAGCAACTGACAGATTGGAGGCCAAATTTGTGATTTTAAGATAGATTTGTATCTGTCATTTTTTTTATTTTATTCTAGAATTTTTAACGGGGGTGTTTTTATTTGTTCCGGTCTCTGGTCTTTGACTGTGATAAACTTGATTTGATTTGACAAGGGCCCCGGGTTTAGATCAAATAATGGTGGGAATGTTGCAACGGTCATAAGTCACTGTCTCAGTGCCGCTGTAACTCCAAACGGTCACTAAATGAAGGGCTGTATTATTATGGGCTGTATGATTCTACCAGTGACCAAAACCCCTGAAGGAGAATCTCTGGCTCACCTGTTCTTGTGGCCAGGCCTGCCTGTCCTCTGGAGTCCTGGACTTGGTCTTGAAGCCTCTTGGGGCATCTCCAAGTTGCTTGGAGGCTGGAGGGATGTTCAAGGACTTGGGCCGCCCCAGGTGCCGACTGGCCGCGTGGCCGGGCTCTCCCTTGGGACACGTCTCTGCATAGTCATTGGGCACGTTTTCAGTGCCTTCGTGCTCCGGGCTCATTTCCGATGCGCTGTTGATACTGTTCATACTCATGCTCATCTTGATCTCCGCCACAATCTGGTCGATGTCTTCTTCCTGCTCTTCCAAATCTCTCCCTTCGTTCCTGCCGCGGTAAGGGGACATCCGGCGGGAGTTGCCGTTGGCTTCCGGGGAGTAGTAGCTCCCTTCGCCGGGATGGCAATACCGCAGGCTCTCGTCTTGGTCCTGGATTTCTAAACAGGCCACCTCGCTTTCCAGAATCTGGATGCAGCCTTCGTGGTAGCCCACGGCTTCGGCCACGTTGTCCTGGTGCTGAATTTTGGTCTCCACCCATTCTCCTTCCTCAATAGCTTCCTGGCACTCGTCCGTCTCTACGTGATGCACTTCTTGGGGGACGTATTCTTCTCCGTTGCAATCCATTCCTTCCAGGTAACTATCATCCTCCGGACAATATCGAATGTAGTAGGTGATTCCTTCCTCTTCCTCTGGAAGTCCTTCGTCGTAATCCTCCTCCTCCGAAGTGTTGTTGACATAATCTGAACTAGAGTCCCCATCTCCGCTGTTATCAATATGCTCGGAGTCTACCGGGGGAAAGCTACCTGGACCGACTGATACCGCATCCATCACCTTCTCCCCATAGTCTTCCTCGGGCAAAGTACTTTTGGCCTTCTCAGTTGCTTGGCCATGGGGAGAAGAAGGGCAGGCTCTTGTACGGTGATCCAGCATGGCCACTGTGGTGCTTTGGCATTTCCTGTTTGCCATGGTGGACATCTTAAAGGGTAGTCATTTCTTTGCACTGGCTGTGGGAAAGAGCGAAACAAAAATGAGAATTAAATGAAGAATTCCCCAGAATGAGAGCAACAATGCTACCAGGAAGTGCTAAAACGAAGGGTTTCGGTTTATCCAGGGTGGTGGGTTGTGGTGGGATAGAGAGGAGAGTCATAACTAGATTTCATGACCTACTCCAACAACAACAACAACAGGTGAGAATGTCAAACATTTGTAGGATGATGATCCATCTTTGCCATAGTGAGACATGGAAGGAATCCAAGCAGCAATGAGAAGAAAAATTATACATAGAATTGGCTTAACCTAAAAGAAATTATATACATCTAGGCTCCCCCAAAGCCTTAAGTGAAGTTTCTACTCTCCTCAAAGCCCTTATTTAGATGTTTATGAGGTTTCGTCAATGCAGTCAGTTAAAACAGTGAAGACGCTTCCATACAAAATGGCCTCCCTGCCCTCATAATGAACCTTCTTCTTTGCAATGATAGACTCTTCTGAGATGTTCACCCAACTTTGATTTCCCCAGAACTTTGTGTGAAATTAGTCTGAGACGAATTTCACTAGCAAAGGTCAGGCTGATTAGGAATTCTGGTCGAGGTGGCGCACAAAACATCTGGAGAATGTGAATTGGGGAATGTTGAACTTCCAATGCCCACCGATAATAAGCTTGAGGAGCTCCTACTCAACACACCCAATAAAGAAAAAGAAGTTGGCCGTAAATGAAAGATTAGTCCTGCCCTTCCCCCAGAAAATATGCAGCACGTCAAAACGAGGGAGGTTGGAGAGACACTGTTCTATATTTTGAAGGATCTCTCATCTTGAGGGATCTCTTGAGTAGAGAGAATGTGACTTTCTCTTGCATCTTGTCACACTCACCATATGTCTTCCATAAAATTGATGCACACCCTGTTCATGCATTAGAGAGGAGTGAAGATCATAAAAAAGGTGACAAAACAATTATGACTAGAGGGAATAGCATCATTGTAAGCTTAGGTAAGATTCACATTCAATTAAGGTTTCAAAAAATCTCACTGATAGGGACTCAGCCCCAGTGTATTTGGTGCAGAATCTTCGTATTAAATCAAGTGATGCCATTTAAGGCAATATTGATTTATCACCATAAATGTGATTAAAAAGGGAAAGTAAGCTGAGATTCTTAACAGCAAATACTAATGAGACTCATAGTTATTCTCACCGATAATGGCTTGCAAAGCTACCAGACCCTTTAATCTTCTTTAAGTTGACAACTGTTTAAATTTCACTTTCATTTAGCCCAAGAGGCTTTAAAAAAAAGCAAGGGGAAATTGTCACTCTCAATGAGGCCTTAAAGGCTTCTTAATTCATTTTAAAATATGATTCAGAGGTGTCTACCTATAAACACATTGCTGGATTATTATTCCATTATTTGGATATTGTTTCTTTATTTAGAAAATGTAGCTACCCACCCATCTTAAATACATAACTTTGGGTGGCAAAATAATCCATAGAAAATCCATAGAAATAATGAAAAATATAAGCCATTAAAAATAATTCAATGGAATCAAAAATAATAATTGAGGCTCTTTATGAAAACGAACATTGATAAACTGTTTTCCTAAAAGCCTGGCCTAACATATGGGAAAAACAGCAGCAATTAGAATTAAGATAAGTTCTAGATAAATTTTGCAGGAAGTTGTTTCAGGCACTGTAGAAAGTTGAAAAGATGCAGTAGTGAAACTCTCCCCCTTCCATCACCCCCACCCCCTGCAAATCACACAATCATTGCCTTGGCTCACCTAATTGCCTCAATCTGGACAACCCTGGATCTTTACCAAGGAAAGTCTAACCATGTGCAAGGATTTTTCTAGTTCAGGGTCAATTGAGTTGGGTTGAGAAGTTGAGTTGGCGGCTTGGGTGGGTTTGGGTTGAGTTAAGTTGAGTTGGGTTGAGTTGAGTTGGGACATCCTTGTTATTTCTCCTGGCAAGTGTTTTTTCTCGTCTGCTATATATGTTATTTGTAATTTTGTTCCATGGTTTTTAATTTTGTTTTTAAGCCATGTTAGAAGCCCAGGGGACACACATTTGAGATGGGCAGCTATACAAATGGACTAAATAAATAAACAGCTAAATATTGCACCATATAGAAATCAGGAGGAAAATGTGAGAGTTTTTCCTACATTCCTCCAAGCTCAGAAGCATCATTTTGCACACCAACCTCAAGTCACTTTGTCCAGCATGAATGCACCAAAATCTATTTGGCATTTGTTGGCCATATGCAAAGGTCAATGCTGCAGAGAGAATCACATTACCAGAAGAAACGGAGGCAGTAAGGTTTGGAATTATGATTCCAAAACACAAAGGAAGTTTTTCTCCTTTTTTTTCACCAAGTCCAATGAGAGAGGGGCAGTGAGACTCTCGTTAACTTCCCCCCACCCTCAAAAGCTAAGCACAGGAATTAAAAACAGCGGTTGCAAGTCATATTGATTAGTTATACCTGAAGCACCCAACCAAGAGACCAAAAGAAATCAATGCATAATTTGATTTCTTAATTTCTTGGCAGCCCAATTTTTAAGGCACAGAAATCAGATGGTTGTTTCTTTAGAACAGACTGCATCATTAGCATGGGGAAAAAAATCACCATTCCATAAGTTTTGGGTTTTTTTTTTGCAATTAAAAGAAATGATAATAAAACGAAAGCGTGTGGCACAAATGTTGGCAAGGCACATGGACCTCTTTCCACGCATCAGATTTTCAACCTTCTTCAGCTTTCTCTGGACGGGCATTTGAAGTCTTCCTTTTTCCCCAAAACAATAGAGATGAAAAACCAGCTTCCCAAGGCAGAGCCGACAACAGAGCATTTCGCCCTTGCTATGGTGTCTCTCTGCGTTGTGACACCATCACCTGGCTAATTTAATTTGATGGCATTTGCATTTATATTATTTCATCACTGTGCTGGAATTGGAGTGGGCTTTTCGCGCTGCACTCCCGAGCAATGTTTAGCAGATTAGGTTGTACAGAACCAGCAGTCATTACAAGCCAGCAATTATTCCCTCAGTTGTCACTGAAATATAATGGATTCCAACAGCTAGAAACTTCCTCGGTCAGGGGGCAGGCGAGAATGCAAAAACAGGCATGGTGTTTGTAGATATTTTTTTGGGGGGGAAATATATGTGTACTGGATGAGTTGGAACCAGCTGAGCAGCCAAGCAAAACTGTCTTCTTCTGAGTGGGAAGTTCACTGCTCAAGTGGGAGGTCCCCAAATTCAGAGAAAATCTATGCAAGGTATTTTTTTTTATTTTTTTTATTAAATTTATATGCTGCCCATCTCACCAATAAAGTGACTCTGGGCAGATCGTAGACCCAGAAAGCATAGCGTCACTTATTTCCAAGCTAGTCCTGTGCTGAGCAGGTCATATCCATCTATCAACCATTCTTCTCCAAGAGTTGGGAAAGAAAATGGCGTGACACAAAAATAATCAAGTCACAAAAATAGAAGAAAGTCCTTTCAATGCCTCCAACTTGGCCCCAATGTCCAATTATCCTCGGCTGGAAATCAAACTCTTAAAGAAAACAGTTTACGGAGGGAGTAAATGCAGTCCGCACCCAAAGGAAAGTTAATTCGAAATGAAAAACCCAACACACCACACTGAAGGAATTACTATGGCAGGCAAGGATGATTCATTGCAGACTTCTACCAGATAACTGCAGCCACCACAATTGGGAGGAAGCCAAAACACAGATAAGCTCTGACAAGAATGCACGCTTTGCTTTCAGAAACTTTGCCATGTGCAAGTTTGTCCTTTTAACCAGTCCGCCCAGCTGCAGCCCATGAAGGGGATCAGGACCCCTTCCTCCCCCTTAGACCATGCCACTCACATTTCTCCCTTATCCGCTCCTCCCTGCGTGCCCTAGGATGAAGAGGGGATGGGCCTGGGCCTTCCTCTGAATGCTCATCTGGCCTGTGCCCTTCCCCAGTTTCCTCCACAACCACCGGAGCCACACTCCCACTCCCTGTCAGCTGTTCCACCTCTCCCTTGGAATCAGACTCCAAGAGGGGCATGACACTGGCCTTCAGAGGCTTTGTCCCTCCAAAGAAGAAGCAGAAGATGGCAGGGACTTTTTCATGGAGGTGGTATGGAGTCCTTTGCATGACTAAGAGTCACAGTGGCCAAAATTCCACAAAGTTTGACTGGTCAAAGTGGAGCAGGGGAAGGAAGAAAGAGTTTGACATTCCAGTGCTCTACCAGAAAGAAGCTTCATGGATCAAAAGCCATGCCAAATTCCTGGATGGTCCACTCAAGCAGATGCTGAAGATCAATGTGCTGGAGGAACTATCTAAGCCAGGGGTGTCCAACTTTGGCAATTTTAAGACCAATGGACTTCAACTCTCAGAATTCTGGGAGTTGAAGTCCGCAGGTCTCAAAGTTGCCAAGGTTGGACACCCCTGTTCTAACCTTTGCAATTTTTGCTGTCATAAAAGCCATAGAAAATTGAAGGAAAGAAACCAGAGACTGAGGTCCCCTTAACAGGAAATTAATTTCGAGGTGGTTTGCCCTTCTTTGATCTCTGAAAAAGCTCTCAATTTTATATTTTTTAATCTTTCTTCCCCCCCACCCCGACTTGATGACAAAGGTGACCTTGTTATCTGGATAAAAAAAAAAATTGTTCAGACAGCTTTGTACCCGCCGACGTGGAGCGCATACCAATGAGGGAGCAATGTGGACAGATTCCCAGATTCCTTGGCATTATCGGCCTGATTGACTGCAATAACGGCTGCTTCAGAAGCAATCCAGAGAGAGAAGAAATTAAAACAGACCACCATGCAGTCAAGGATAGCTGCTGCCTCCTTCCTATTCAACGAGGGGAAATGCTTATCTGCTCCCTTTCACATGGCAGATTCCTTCACCCCTCTTAAAGATTTTTTGCTTTGGTGATTTGGGAAAGGGGGAAGATTTTCTTCTTAAGCCTAAATCATCTGCCATCGAGATCCCCTTTG